CCATTTCAGCTCTGCCTGCAAATACAAACAATGACCCGCTCATGGCAACAACTGCCCTCACCCAGGACTGGGGCTCTCTGCCACTGATTTGAACTGTCTGCATCTGAAAAGAAGTTAGGACTAGTGTCAAAGGGCTGCAGGACAACTTAACAGCACCAAACATGTTATGTCAAGCTCCTAAAACAATCTAGAGCGCAACTACACCCTGCATTACAAATTTCAAGTCCCCGGGAATTGGGCTATTACAGGCTATGCAGCAGGGCAGAGCAGCTCCGGGAGAAATACGTGCAGGCACCCGTGATGCAGGACAGGACGTGACAAACGACAGGACAGGAGAGGGAGAGAGAGGTTTGCACAAGAAGAAGGTCTGCAAAGACCAAGAGACCCAAACAACCAAGAGTGCACCAGACACAAGTGACAGGACACACACCGGAACTGCTCTGCCCTGTGCACCTCAGCACTGAGATCAAAAGAAACACTTTCCCTTTAGGTGGACTATAGGAGACGCTTCTTGGACATCCCCATCTCTAAAACAGACACAAAAACCCCTTCTAGAAAGTCCCAACCCACCACCCCACTTCCATCCCCTCTGTGGGTCGTAACCCTCAACTTATCTTGCATGCATTCTGGGGATGCAAATCCCTGTTGGCTGCAGAAGGACGCCATCTGCCTGTCTGGTAAGTTCCAGCTGTCACCTCTTGGTCTGCCAACAGGAAGAAAACCAAACATCAGTGCACAGTCTTAACAGCACATTGGCCAAAACAAGATAGTTCTGCTACTCACCATTCTCCTCAGAATGCCTGGGTTCTTGACCTGCACGCTTCAGGTCTGCTTGGATTCTGATGCCATCATTGCAGGGTACACCTAGGTTAAATGGAGACAAGGCGACATGGCATTGCTGAAACTCAAGTGGACTCTCACTCCTCCTCCCTACCTCCCCCAACTCACTGCAATTCCCCAGCCATTCCTCGGGACTACCCAGATGAGACCTTGAAATGCAAAATTGGAAGGCTCCGTCACAGGGTCCTGTAATACTTCCAGCGAGATCACAAGTGCATGAAACCTGGTCCATCAGCCAGTTGGTGACAGAGGTATGCGTACTCCGAGCCGATTCCCTAAAGCACAAAAATGAGGATGGATGCTTACAGTTGCACCAAAAACTGAAAGACGAGTAAAAACAACTGCTTCTGTCCACTGCTCACCTTGGACACTTGGCCTTGACTGCTGCTATCTGCCTGGACCTCCTAAAATTAAAGGCAAAGAACACTGCTGTAACACAGTCACCATTTCAGCTCTGCCTGCAAATACAAACAATACCCTGCTCATGGCAACAAACTCCCCCAGGCTGGGGCCCTCTGCCACTGATTTGAACTGTCTGCATCTGAAAAGAAGTTAGGACTAGTGTCAAAGGGCTGCAGGACAACTTAACAGCACCAAACATGTTATGTCAAGCTCCTAAAACAATCTAGAGCCCAACTACACCCTGCATTACAAATTTCAAGTCCCCAGGAATTGGGCTATTACAGGCTATGCAGCAGGGCAGAGCAGCTCCGGGAGAAATACGTGCAGGCACCCGTGATGCAGGACAGGACGTGACAAACGACAGGACAGGAGAGGGAGAGAGAGGTTTGCACAAGAAGGTCTGCAAAGACCAAGAGACCCAAACAACCAAGAGTGCACCAGACACAAGTGACAGGACACACACCGGAACTGCTCTGCCCTGTGCACCTCAGCACTGAGATCAAAAGAAACACTTTCCCTTTAGGTGGACTATAGGAGACGCTTCTTGGACATCCCCATCTCTAAAACAGACACAAAAACCCCTTCTAGAAAGTCCCAACCCACCACCCCACTTCCATCCCCTCTGTGGGTCGTAACCCTCGACTTATCTTGCATGCATTCTGGGGATGCAAATCCCTGTTGGCTGCAGAAGGACGCCGTCTGCCTGTCTGGTAAGTTCCAGCTGTCACCTCTTGGTCTGCCAACAGGAAGAAAACCAAACATCAGTGCACAGTCTTAACAGTATATCGGCCAAACCCTGATAATTCTGCTACTCACCATTCTCATCAGATTGCCCGGGTTCAGGGCCAGAAAACTTTGGGCGTGCTTGGATTCTGATGCCATCATTGCAGGGTACACCTAGGTTAAATGGAGACAAGGCGACATGGCATTGCTGAAACTCAAGTGGACTCTCACTCCTCCTCCCTACCTCCCCCAACTCACTGCAATTCCCCAGCCATTCCTCGGGACTACCCAGATGAGACCTTGAAATGCAAAATTGGAAGGCTCCGTCACAGGGTCCTGTAATACTTCCAGCGAGATCACAAGTGCATGAAACCTGGTCCATCAGCCAGTTGGTGACAGAGGTATGCGTACTCCGAGCCGATTCCCTAAAGCACAAAAATGAGGATGGATGCTTACAGGTGCACCAAAAACTGAAAGCCGAGTAAAACCAACTGCTTCTGTCCACTGCTCACCTTGGACACTTGGCCTTGACTGCTGCTATCTGCCTGGACCTCCTAAAATTAAAGGCAAAGAACACTGCTGTAACACAGTCACCATTTCAGCTCTGCCTGCAAATACAAACAATACCCTGCTCATGGCAACAACCGCCCCCAGGCTGGGGCCCTCTGCCACTGATTTGAACTGTCTGCATCTGAAAAGAAGTTAGGACTAGTGTCAAAGGGCTGCAGGACAACTTAACAGCACCAAACATGTTATGTCAAGCTCCTAAAACAATCTAGAGCGCAACTACACCCTGCATTACAAATTTCAAGTCCCCAGGAATTGGGCTATTACAGGCTATGCAGCAGGGCAGAGCAGCTCCGGGAGAAATACGTGCAGGCACCCGTGATGCAGGACAGGACGTGACAAACGACAGGACAGGAGAGGGAGAGAGAGGTTTGCACAAGAAGGTCTGCAAAGACCAAGAGACCCAAACAACCAAGAGTGCACCAGACACAAGTGACAGGACACACACCGGAACTGCTCTGCCCTGTGCACCTCAGCACTGAGATCAAAAGAAACACTTTCCCTTTAGGTGGACTATAGGAGACGCTTCTTGGACATCCCCATCTCTAAAACAGACACAAAAACCCCTTCTAGAAAGTCCCAACCCACCACCCCACTTCCATCCCCTCTGTGGGTCGTAACCCTCAACTTATCTTGCATGCATTCTGGGGATGCAAATCCCTGTTGGCTGCAGAAGGACGCCATCTGCCTGTCTGGTAAGTTCCAGCTGTCACCTCTTGGTCTGCCAACAGGAAGAAAACCAAACATCAGTGCACAGTCTTAACAGCACATTGGCCAAAACCTGATAATTCTGCTACTCACCATTCTCCTCAGAATGCCCGTGTTCTGGGCCAGTAAACTTTGGGCGTGCTTGGATTCTGATGCCATCATTGCAGGGTACACCTAGGTTAAATGGAGACAAGGCGACATGGCATTGCTGAAACTCAAGTGGACTCTCACTCCTCCTCCCTACCTCCCCCAACTCACTGCAATTCCCCAGCCATTCCTCGGGACTACCCAGATGAGACCTTGAAATGCAAAATTGGAAGGCTCTGTCACAGGGTCCTGTAATACTTCCAGCGAGATCACAAGTGCATGAAACCTGGTCCATCAGCCAGTTGGTGACAGAGGTATGCGTACTCCGAGCCGATTCCCTAAAGCACAAAAATGAGGATGGATGCTTACAGTTGCACCAAAAACTGAAAGACGAGTAAAAACAACTGCTTCTGTCCACTGCTCACCTTGGACACTTGGCCTTGACTGCTGCTATCTGCCTGGACCTCCTAAAATTAAAGGCAAAGAACACTGCTGTAACACAGTCACCATTTCAGCTCTGCCTGCAAATACAAACAATACCCTGCTCATGGCAACAACCGCCCCCAGGCTGGGGCCCTCTGCCACTGATTTGAACTGTCTGCATCTGAAAAGAAGTTAGGACTAGTGTCAAAGGGCTGCAGGACAACTTAACAGCACCAAACATGTTATGTCAAGCTCCTAAAACAATCTAGAGCCCAACTACACCCTGCATTACAAATTTCAAGTCCCCAGGAATTGGGCTATTACAGGCTATGCAGCAGGGCAGAGCAGCTCCGGGAGAAATACGTGCAGGCACCCGTGATGCAGGACAGGACGTGACAAACGACAGGACAGGAGAGGGAGAGAGAGGTTTGCACAAGAAGGTCTGCAAAGACCAAGAGACCCAAACAACCAAGAGTGCACCAGACACAAGTGACAGGACACACACCGGAACTGCTCTGCCCTGTGCACCTCAGCACTGAGATCAAAAGAAACACTTTCCCTTTAGGTGGACTATAGGAGACGCTTCTTGGACATCCCCATCTCTAAAACAGACACAAAAACCCCTTCTAGAAAGTCCCAACCCACCACCCCACTTCCATCCCCTCTGTGGGTCGTAACCCTCAACTTATCTTGCATGCATTCTGAGGATGCAAATCCCTGTTGGCTGCAGAAGGACGCCATCTGCCTGTCTGGTAAGTTCCAGCTGTCACCTCTTGGTCTGCCAACAGGAAGAAAACCAAACATCAGTGCACAGTCTTAACAGCACATTGGCCAAAACCTGATAATTCTGCTACTCACCATTCTCCTCAGAATGCCCGTGTTCTGGGCCAGTAAACTTTGGGCGTGCTTGGATTCTGATGCTGTCATTGCAGGGTACACCTAGGCAAAGGAGAGACAAGGTGATGTGGCATTGCTGAAACTCAAGTGGACTCTCACTCCTCCTCCCTACCTCCCTGACTTACTGCAATTCCTTGGCCACTGCTCTGGGCTACCAGGATGGGACCATGAAATACAAAATTGGAAGGTTTCATCACAGGGTCCTGGAATACTTCCACCGAGATCACAAGTGCAGGAAACCTGGTCCATCAGCCAGTTGCTGACAGAGGTATGTGCACTCCAAGTCGATTCCCTAAAGCACAGAGACAAGAATGGATGCTTACAGCTGCAACAAAAACTGAAACCTTATCAAGAACAACTGCTTCTGTCCACTGCTCACCTGGCACACTGGGCTTTGACTGCTGCTATCCGTCTGGACCTCCTAAAAATAAAGGCACAGAACAGGGCTGTAACAGAGTCACCATTTAGACTTCCCCTGTAAATGCAAACAATGACTGACCTGCTCATGGGAAGTTCCTCACCAAGGACTGGGGCCCTCCGCCACAGACTTGAAATGTCTGCATCTGAAAGGAAGTTAGGACTAATGTCAAACCGCTGCAGGACAACAGTACCAAACATGTTATGTCAATCTCCTAACACAATCTAGAGCCCAGCTACACCCTGCATTACTAATTTCAAGTCCCCAGGACTTGTGCTATTACAGGCTATGCAGCAGGGCAGAGCAGGTCCGGTACAAATATGTGCAGACACCCGTGACACAGGACAGGACATGACAAACCAGGAGACAGAGCAGGGAGGGAGAGCTTTTGATGAGAAGAAAGGACTGAGACCCAAAGAACAGAGAGTGCACCAGAGACAAGTGACAGGACACACACCGGAACTGCTCTGCCCTGCACACCTCAGCACTGAGATCAAAACAGACACTTTGCATTTAGGTGGGCTTAGGAGACTCTTCTTCAACATCCCCATCTCCAAAACTGACTCAAAAACCCCTCCTGGGGAGTCCCAACCTGGCACCTCTCTTCCATCCCCTCTGTGGGTTGTAGCCCTTGACTTATCTTGCACATATCTGGGGATGCAAATCCCTGTTGGCTGCAGAAGAAGGCCATCTGCCTGTCTGGTAAGTTCCAGCTGTCACCTCTTGGCCTGCCAAGAGAAAGAAAACCAAACATCGGTGCACAGCCTTAACAGCACATTGGCCAAAACCTGATAATTTTGCTACTCACCATCCTCCTCAGAATGCCCGGGTTCTTGGCCTGCACGCTCCGGGTGTGGTTGGATTCTGACGCCATCATTGCAGGGTACACCTAGGCTAAGGGGACACAATGCTGAAACTCGAGGGGACTCTCACTCCTCCTCCCTACCTCCCCCAACTCACCACAACTCCTTGGCCACTGCTCTGGGCTACCAGGATGGGACCTTGAAATGCAAAATCGGAAGGCTTCATCACAGGGTCCTGTAATACTTCCAGAGGGCTCATAAGTGCAGGAAACCCAGTCCATCAGCCAGCTGGTGACAGGGGCTTGGCATACTCCCAATGGATTCCCTAAAGCGCAAAAACAAGAAAGGATGCTTACAGTGTCACAAAAAACTGAAACCTGAGTGAGAAAAACTGCTTCTGTCCACTGCTCACCTGGCACACTAGGCCTTTACTGCTGCTATCTGCCTGGACCTCCTAAAAATAAAGGCACAGAACAGGGCTGTAACAGAGTCACCATTTAGACTTCCCCTGTAAATGTAAACAATGACTGACCTGCTCATGGGAAGTTCCTCAGCAAGGACTGGGGCCCTCTGCCACAGACTTGAAATGTTTGCATCTGAAAGGAAGTTAGGACTAGTATCAAACAGGTGCAAGAAAACTTAACACCACCAAACATGTTATGTCAATCTCCTAACACAATCTAGAGCCCAGCTACACCCTGCATTACTAATTTCAAGTCCCCAGGACTTGTGCTATTACAGGCTAAGCAGCAGGGCAGAGCAGCTCTAGGACAAATATGTGCAGACACCCGTGACACAGGACAGGACATGAAAAACAAGGGGACAGGCCAGGGAGAGAGAGCTTTTGATGAGAAGAAAGGACCGAGAGACCCAAAGAACACAGAGTGCACCAGAGACAAGTGACAGGACACACACCAGAACTGCTCTGCCCTGCGCACCTCAGCACTGTGATCAAAACAGACACTTTTCCTTTAGCTGGCCTAAGTAGACACTTCTTGGACATCCTCATCTCTAAAACGAACTCAAAAACCCCTCCTGGGGAGTCTCAACCTGGCACCTCTCTTCCATCCCCTCTGTGGGTTGTAGCTCTTGACTTATCTTGCACATATCTGGGGATTCAAATCCCCATTGGGTGCAGAAGGGGGCCACTACTCCCATCCCCAGGCCGCAGCCCTGACTTATCTTTTGTATGACTGGAAATGCGAATCCACGTTGGACCTGAAATGAGTCTGCCTCGGAGGGGATCTCCTGTTAGCCTCTTAGTCAGCTAGAATAAAGAACAGGAAAATAAATGGTTGAGTTTAGTGTTATGTGGGCCAAATCCCAGCAAGTCAGATACTTATCCTCTCCTGAGTGTGCCTGGGTGCTCAAGTCTCCAGCTCCATCCCTAGTCTAAGGTTTGGCTGTTATTATGAGTAGCACCTGGTTTAGAGAGGCAAAGTTACATGGCATTTCTGTGAGTTCAGTGGATGAGCTTGTGTGCTGTATGACACACGGATGCCTCTGCTATGCTTGTGAAAAGCCTTGCAAATAGACACCATTTCTCACCCTACTGCCTGCAAAACCCCACCACAATAACTCTTAACTGGGTACCTTGCTCACTCTCCCACTCCTAGTCCCAATCCTCAACTCACCTGAAACCTCAATCTCAGACATCATCTTTGACACAGGGCAGATCCCTTTTGGAACATGATCACTCTGCTGAAAAAATGTTGTACTCGACACAACCTGGAATTACAGGAAGTTGCACTCCTCCTAAACAAAAACAAAAAAACAAACCAAAAAATGTCAGAGATTACAGAAGCACTTCACCACCCCTGAATGCACAACCCCAAATCATGAAATTAAATACTCCCTGTGTTCAGTGTTGTTTTCTTCACAGTATCTTCAAAGCCTCTGTTACATTAGAAGCCCAAAAGCACCTACAGAGAACAAGCTAAGCTGAAAGAGCCTCTTCACCAAAATGAGAGGAGAGCTCTTACCCCAGTGGATCCCAGAGAGGGAATGAAGCCCCTTGGCAAAGCCTGGGGTTAATATACCCCTGATTGGGCCCGCCTCTCATTCCCATGACACCCAGGAAAAGGGAGGGGCCAAACCCCACCGGGTATAAAAGCCTTCAGAGAATCTCTGGCTGTTTGGCTCCTCTGATTTGAATTCAAGGGGAATAAAGGGCTGGATATAGAAGAAAACTCTTCAGGGAAATGCCAGAGCTTTCTTTTGTGCTACATCTACTTGGAGCAAAAGGGCAAGAAAACTGGTAAGAAATAAAACTTTGTTTTTAGGCAGCATATCTAGATAAGTTGGGTATCCCCATAATTTAAACCCCTTCTCTCTTCATAATCCCTGTCTTTTCTGGGAGTGCTGTGGAAGGTCTGGGGGTTCTAGGGAGGGACTGACGCAATAAAAGGGGAAAGTTGAAAGCTCTCCCATGGAACCCCACATGTTGCCCAGCCGACTCGGGTGCTGCCCCTTGGCAAGAGGTCTCTTCCCTCGGCATTTTCTCAAAGGGATGCTTCGTGCTCAAGTGGGTCCGGCTGCTCCCCGGTCCCTGCTGGATGTTCCGACCGTAGTTCCTGGAGGGACACTTGGGATACCCCTGTTAGCCCCTCTGGATTAGCAGCTCCCTGTGCAGGTGTGCCCAGGTAGCTGCACTGAAAACAGCTCGTTAAGTGGGGAGCTGCTACACCTAAGAGTGGGGGATGAGGTGAAGAAAGGTCCTGCAGGGTGATCCCTCCCCTACGCAGCCCTTTGTCTAACCCTTAAACAATGGGGTGCCAAACTTTCATTTCCAAGATAATTAACAGTCTTTCCTCTATGTGTGCCCCTGGCCAAACAGGAATTGTGCTTCCGCAATTGTAAAGGGTGAACGATTTCTCAGAGACCGCATCTGCCAACACCAGGAACTCTTGCTGCCCTTGGAGAGCAGCACGCCTCCAGTGAACAGACATTGACACACGGGGAGGGTGAGGCTGGTTTTACAGGGAAAAATGGCAGAGGTCGGGTCACGAGGCCTGTGGCTCCGAGTGATTTCCTACGTCTCGTTCTGAATGGCACGGGATTTATCCTGGAGCAAAACTGCTGCCAGCAAGAATTCTGCCTGCCCTGGAAGGAAGAAGCACCTCCTCCAAACTGACATCAGGAACCGGGGAGGGTGAGCTATGTTTCACAGAGAAAAGGGCCTGTGATAGAGTCCACGAGCCAGGGGCCATGAAAGAAGGGCCGCCCCATGAAAATCTGAATGGAGAAGGATTTGTCCTGGACCCAAGCTGCCCCCACGTCTGATAGTAATAGGGTTTAAAATCATGGGGATTTAGGGTTTAAAGGCAAATTAAGCTTAGTAGGCCCTGAAAAGAAAATAAACACCCTAAGTACAGGAAGATTTCGTACCTTACTAGAACTTCACCTGTGTAGCTAGTACATGATAAATGATATAGTTGTTAGATGTGATGATTGTTTAGTAATTAAATATAATTATTGTTTAGTCGTAAGAATAATTATGAGAAACTGTGGTCAGGGACCTAAGAAAGATCACGAGAAACTCATGTCAATGTATACAATAGAACAATGTAAGTTTAATAATTAATATGTAAGTTATATAATGATAGAATATAAAATACATTCAGCTCGAAAGCCGTGTTGGAGTCAGATGTGGGTCTGTACCCCTGATTCCCAGAGCTCTCAATAAAAGCACCTGCATATAATCATATCCCGTAATTATGTGTGTTCCTGAACGCTAACACGTTGACCAGGGGTTGCCTTGAAAATCCCAAGCACAACTCGCAAAATGACATCAGGAACCTGGACTGGTGAGTTTTCTTTCCCAGGGAAAAGGGCCGAATGTGGCTGAATGCAGAAAATCCTAACATTGAAGGATGTGTCCCGGACCCAAGCTGCCACCACCTCAAACTTGTGCTGCCCTGACAGTCCCAAGGGAGCCCTGCAAACTGACACCAGGAACCTGGGCTGCTGAATTTGCTTTCGCAATGTAGATATCCCTCATTCATTCCCAGGGCCCTGTGACCCCCCTGGGTTGTCAGGTCCCAAGTTTCCTTTTGCCTCCTCAATGTCAAAACAGTGCAGGATTACTCCCAGTCCGAATCTCCCACCCCCAAGTACTCGGGGGTTTTTTTCATGCCGAATACCTGTTGCAAACTGACAGTACAAAGCTTGGGGCTTGATTTTTTCTGTCTGGATTTCTCCTTGAGAAATCTGCCACCATATAACCCTAACCACAACCACCTTGCTTTGCTCAGAATTCACAACCTTCAGACCAGCAGCATGACACCTGACCCGCTGGCCCTCCACCAGCACCTTCCCAAAGCATTCCACTGCATTCCAGTAGTACTCGGCATTTTCAGCGGGCATCCCGTCTGACCCACATCCTGACCCCAAAAATGCACCAAGGAATTCTAAAATAGCCATTAGGAAGGTGTAACAATACTCTAAAAGACACCAGAAAAGTCTAAAAAGCCTTCAAATATCCCCTAAATATTCCTAATAGTCCTGCAAAAAAACTACTCAAGGAAGCCTGCTCAGCCTCCAAGCCCCTTCCAGTTGCTCTCTGGCCCACAGATGTCATCCCTACCTTTTTGCAGCGGGGCCTGTTGTCCTCTGAGCGTTCTGGCGTTGTCCTGGTGTGAGGGTTGCTGCCGTGTTCCGGTGTGGTCTCGCTGCGAGGCTTGCTGTGTTGCGCTGCTGTTGTTAGGGGTGAAAAGGGAAAAGGCTGCTTAGGGTGAGGTTAGGGCTGGGGTGAGGGGTGATGCACCTGTACCCTAACTTGCCTCCTAAGCTGTACCCTGTAGCCCTGATCTCCACTAGACTGTCCAGCCCTCAAACCCTCTCCCTTTACTCCTCAACCCCTCCCTCTGCCCCCCAGCCCTCAAGCTCTGTGTGTCACCCTCGAGCCCCCCTTTGCCCCTCAAGCCCCCTCTCAGCTGCCCCTCAGCTCCTGTGTGCCACCCTTAATCCCTCTCCTTTGCCCCTCAGCCCCCAGCTTCTCTGTGTCACCCTCCAGCTGCCCCTGCCCCCCTCAGCATCTGTCTGTGTCACCCACTGTCCCTTCCCCCTGTTCCTCCCTCAGCTCCCAGCCTCTGTCACCCTCAAGCCCACACAGTGCCCCTCAAGCTGCCCCTCAGCCTCTATGCCATGAAAAGACCCTAAAAAACCATAAAAATGACCTAAAAACCCCTCATCTTAAAAATGTCTTAAAACCCCCACAAAAACATAAAAATAGCCTCAGAATACCCTTAAAATACAATAAAAATACACTACTTAAAAAAAAAAAAAAAAAAACTAAAACACCCCTAAAAATCCCCAAAGAACCTTAAAAAAACCCCAAAGTATTCTTAAAAGAGCTCCAAAAACAGCCCCAAAATCCTTAAAACACACTGATAAGACCCTAAAATCCATAAAACTTCCCTCAAAAAACCTAAAAATACATGAGTCCTAAGAGGCCTCCACATACCCCCAATAGTCCTAAAAAAGCCCTAAACAATTTTAAATAGTCCTAAAAAAGCCCCAAGAACACCCCCACAAAAAAAAAAACCCTTAAAATTCTAATTAGTACTAAGAAAGCCCTTAAAATACCCTTAAAAATCTTTTAAAAGCCCTGAAAAAGCCCTAAAAGTATCCTAAATGTTCTCAGAAAGTTCCTCAAAAGTTCCTGTGAGAAAACCCCTCAAATATCCTTTAAAAACACTAAAAAAAAACCACTAAAGAAAGTGGCTCAGTCCCCAGGCTCTACCAGTCACTCTCTAGCCAGCAAACATCATCCCTACCTTTTAATTAAAGTCACTGCCTGCAGCTGCTGGGAGGGTTCTGGGGCTGTCCCAGCATTAGGGTCACTGCCTGTAGCTGCTGTTGGGGAAAACTGGTGTTCTAGAGATTCTTCTTGGGGTGAGCTTAGGGCTGGGGTGAGGGCTGCTGCTGTACCCTAAGCCTTCCCGGTACCCTATCCCCTGTCCTTTGTACCCCTAACCCTCAGTGTCAGCTCTCCACTTGTCAAGTCCCCCCTCTTTGCCCCTCAGCCCACAATGTCTGTGTGCCACCCCAAGGTCCCGACACTGTCCCTTGGCCCCCTAACCTTTACCGTGCACTCCCCACCCAGGGAGGGGTGGGTTTTAGGGTGAGGTTAAGGGTGGTGTGAGGGCTGGTTCACCTGTCACTCTCAGGTACCCCCCACTTTGTTCTCAAGGCACCCCCTGCCTCTCAACCTCCTTGTGTCACCCTCCATTCCCCCAGTGCAGCCTCTCAGTGTCTCTGTGCCACCCTGGAGCCCCCCTTTTTACTCCTACAGACCCCTTCTGCTCCTCAGCCTCCTTGTGTCACCCTCCAGCTCCCCACCGCAGCCTCTCAGCATCTCTGTGCCCCCCGTTTTACTCCTACAGACACCTTCTGCCTCTCAGCTGCCCCCACCCTCTGTGCCACCCTCCAGCCCCCTGCCCTCAGCCCCAGGTCCCTTTGTGACACCGTGCAGCCCACAGATGTCATCCCTGCCTGTTTTATTTTGGTGTTGTCCTGCTGTGAAGGCTGCACTATCCCCACAAGTCTGGGCTCCCATGTGGTCCTGCAGGGAGACACAGGTGGGCGGTGGGGGGAGTGAGGGATGGGGCAGGGGCAGGATGGGGAGGGGTGAAGGGTGTAGAGAGAGTAGGATGGGGGGGGGCTGGAAGTACAGATAGGGGTGAAGGGGGGAGACAGGGACAGAGAAGAACAGGGGTGAAGGGAGAAGGTGAGGGTAGGAGGGGGCACCACATATCTGACAGATAAAAGCTGCAGCAGAAAAACACCTGCTGCAAACCTACATAAGGAACCCAGGGAAAAGGGCCGTTGTTTGTGCTCGGGGGCCTGCGACCCTGAGGTGGCAGCTGCCTGCAAAAAATCCAAATGACAAAGGTTGTGTCCCAGGCCCAAGCTGCCCCTGCCTCAAAGCCTTACCCTAAACTGAACCCTAAATCCTAATCTAAACGCAAACCCTAACCCAACCCTAACCTCAAATACATCTAATAATAATAATACTTCTAAAATTAAACTTGAATAACAATAACCGTAGAAAATGGCGGCGCCCACGGCATCACGTGACGGGGGCAAAGATGGCGGCGCTGGGGGTATTACATCATAGGGCAAACATGGCGGCGCCCACGGCATCACGTGACGGGGGCAAAGATGGCGGCGCTGGGGGTATTACATCACAGGGTAAAGATGGCGGCGCCCACGGTATCACGTGACGGGGCAAAGATGGCGGCGCCCAGGGCATTCACGTGCTGAGGCAAAGATGGCGGTGCCCATAGCGTCACGTGACGGTGATAAGATGGCGCCCCTGATGCATCACGTGACGGGAGCAAAGATGGCGCCACCTGTTACATCACGTGACTGGACAAATATGGCGGCGCTCAGGTCGTCATGCGACGAGTCAAATATGGCGGCGACCATCGCATCACGTGACTGGTTCAAAAATGGCCGCGCCCGAAGTGTCACGTGATGGGGCAAAGATGGCGGCTTTCGGGACGGGGTCGATTTTGGCGGTTTTTGGCGGTTTTTTGTGTGCCCTCCGCACGCCCTGCGTGCCGTGGTGCTGTTCCAGTGCACCCGCACCGGAGGACGCCGCGCGAGATTGTTTTTGGAGTGCGGGATTGGTGTCGGAATTTCGGACAGGCGGCTGTAGGGGCGGCTAATGCTTGGGGTCTTTTCTGAGGCGCTGGGGGCGGTGCGAGGGGAGGGGTCGGGGCACCGACGCGGTGACGTCACGCGGTGACGCAGCACAGGGGCGGGCCGGAGGGAGGCGTGTGTGCAGTGCGCGAATTGCACCGGCAGGCGGCGCTGCGAGACCGAGGGGTGGGCGCGCTGCCGGCCGGCGGCTGAGGGCGCAGAGCGCCTGTTTGTGTAATTCTATCCTTGTGATGTTGATTTATTAAAAAAAAAAAAAAAAAGGATATTGATCTAGTACCGATATCCAACTGTGACGGACAAAATCTCTCTAAGAGTTTAAAGTTAGAAAGTGTGTGTTTATTCGACACCGGGCAGCGTGTGGGATAGCTCCCAAATCCACACCCCGCCTTCCAAGTGATTACAGAGCCCTTTTATCAGTACAAGTATTGAATACCCAAAATACAAATACATATTCATCATTTTGGTACATCCCCTTCCTCGCTTCGTATCTAATAATTTCAAAAGCTATTAAGCATGAAGTTTGTTCCTTGAAATGGGTCGGTGGTTCCTTTCATGGGGATGAGTACCAAAATGAGGGAGTAAATTAAGTCCTCCTCGTTCTGGCCTTTCTACCGTTTCAATGCAAATATGACAAATGAACTCTTGGTAGAACTCCAATTCCTTGTCTTCAATTGGTTTCAGAACAGAGGAGGCCCACAATTGTCTTATGTTCCTAAAAGCAATTTGTCAGTTTCTATATTCTTCATTATAACCCCAGCTAATTAAACATTGTGTTGACAAGCAATCAATTAATTACTAGTTAACTACTAACTCTTAACTTTATCAAGGCCTACTCATTTATTTTAATTAACTCTAGTAAGACTTGTCACTAACTAAAATCTTAGCTCCTCTAAAATCTCTAAATCCCTTAAGATTTACATTTCACTGTGATTAACTCTTGCTTGTATCATTATTCGACTGGTGGGGTTGATGGGAGTATTGGTGCCATGGTTGCTGCATATTGCTATTGCTACTTGCCAGCTGGATCACTAATTAGGGGCCCTATATCTATTAGGAAAAAGAAGAAAAACTGTCTGGTGCAGCAGTAGAAAATTTCAGGCTCCAGGGGAGTAAATAATTGTCTTTAAATAATTATTTAAAGGTTTGGTTGGGTTTTTTTGTTTGTTTTTTTTTTTACTCCAAGGGAGCCTGAAGTTTTTACTGCTGGTTTTTTAAAGCTAGAAAGGAAAGCAGAGTTAGAAATAAAGGTAGAAATAGAGAGTAACAAAGGGTTAAAAAAAGTTGAAGTTGGAGAGAAAAAGAGACAGGAAAAAAAAACTAGGAAAACAGTGGCAAACAGTGAAAAAAGAAAGAGAGTGAAAAATGAGAAGGGTTAGAGTGAAAAAGAAAGAGAGTAAAAAAGGGAAAAAGGCAAGTAACACAAACTAAAAAATCTCCACCACAGAACCAACTACCAGCAAAAAAAATAAAAACACATTACACATTTTTCACTAACAATTTTTATCTCATCACAAAAATGAAGCAAAAATAAAAAACAACCATATAGAATCGCACACAGCAAATAAAAAAAAACACTTTAAAAAAAAATCCAACCAACTTACTAAACTCAATATTTGCCACTAAGTTTCATTTTAAAGCTTTTTCCCTTCATAAACCGTGTTTCTCCAAAGCTTTCAAATTGTGTCAAGGTTCAAAATCACCACAAGGAAGATCTGAAAAATGCCTTTACATTTCCTTTCCTCCTCCCTGAAGCTACATCAGTCTGACATAAGGTGTTAGTGCTACTTCCACAGAAGTTTGCCTCATTTGAACTGCTGGCCTGCAACAGCTACAACAAAATATGCCTTGCTTGAAGTATTTCAGCACTTACTGAGCAATTCTTTCTTTCGGTCCTTCTGAGCCAGGGCCTGCAGGTCCTCCTGCAGCTGCAGCTCTTTGCTGACAAGGCTCCACTTGTGCAGCAGCAGCTCCCTGCTGGAGAGGACGCTGTCACTGACCACCAAACGCCTCATCTCCCTAAAAGCCTCCACAACAACAGCATGGTATTGCAGCACAGATCTGAGGGTGCTGAACAACTCACTCATCTTGGCCAGAGCTACATTAGTCCTGGCAAAGGAAAACACGAGTGCCATGCGTGCAAATCCATCACTACAGCTCTTAATCCCTACTGTCAGAATGGCCAGGAATTAGGGAACAAAGGACTTGACACCAACTGGGCATCGCATTTTACTTGATTCCCCATGTAGTCATGGGGACACCTAAATCCTCCTGTCAAAGAAATCCCATCCAAATTCACTACTCAACACACAAACTGAAGGTGAAAAAAAGTGTAAATTTGCAACCCTAGATCCCCTGTCAGATATGGGAAAGGAACAGTTAGTTTCTCTGATGTTAGAGCAATCTAGCCCAGATATTGGGCAAAAACTCCAGAAGCTGAAGGAGCCTGTAAACAGAGGCTCAGAGGCATTCATGGGAGAAGGATGGAAAGTGTACAATAATAGGGACCAACAAAAGAGGAAAGAACTCACTACAGCCATTACAGCCATACTGGCAGCTCTGGATCAGCACCAGCGTGAGGGTGTGGGCGAGGCAGAGGCAGAAAAACCAGAGGCAGAGGAGGCTCAAACCAGCCGCAGATTAAGTTGGGGCCAAATCAATGTGCATATTGTAAGAAAGAAGGACACTGGGAACGCCAGTGCCTGGAGTTAGCAGACAAAGTACAAGAAACTACTGTAGCCACTCTAGATTATAATGAATGACGGGGACCGCCAGATCTTACCCTAGCAGACGTGCTGGTTAAAATACAGCCATGGAATGATAGAGGATTTGAATTTTTAGTAGATACTGGAGCCACACTTTCAGTCTTAAATCAAGCACTGATTCTAAAAATAAAAAACATATTCAAGTAGTAAGAGCCACTGACCAGCCAGAAAATGCATTCTTCCTGAGACCACTTAAATACAAAATCAGGAAGAAGATGGAAATACACCAGTTTCTTTATTTACCTAATTCATCCATATCTCTGCTAGCCAGGGATTTGCTTGAAAATTTAAAAGCCACAATTGAGCTTAAAGAAGGAAAAATTATATTTAAGGTACCTGAAGACAAACTGATTTTACCATTAGGACTGACAATTGACACAAGACCAACAAACAATAGTAACTATTTAGAGCAAATACTGAATCAAGTGTACCCAGGAGTATGGGATACCAATACCCAGTCAAGATCAAAATGGGCAGACCCTTTTAAAACTGAACTACAGACAGGAGTTAGGACAGTAGTCAGAAAGCAATACCCTTTAAGGTTGCAAACCAGAAAATGAATAGAGCAAATAACCAATAAATTCCTGACATTAGGATTGCTGAAAGAATGTGAATCAGAATTTAATACTCCTATATTACCAGCAAAGAAACCTAATGGAACTTGTAGACTACTGCGAGATTTATGGGCAGTTAATGGATTTGTTGCAAATCCCTATACCTTGCTAACTAAACTTTATGTTTAGTTAGCAAATGTTATTTGGTTTCCAGAGATAGATCTTAAAGGTGCTTTCTGCACCTGTTGCAGATTGCTCTGTCTGGTTGTGGAGGTATCGGCACTCTGGGGTTACAACTCACTGCTTCCAGTTTACAGTGTCTGGTGGTGGGACAATCAGTCATCACTTCTGCGTTCTGACTCTCTGGTTTAGATTTACTGTCTCTGGTGGGGGAAGTGTTCCTATCCACCCTATCCCTCACACCCTACTTTTTCAGGTCCTACACTACCATGCTACAGACTGCTGGGAGTAAGATTCATCCCTGAGAACCACCACACCAATATCCTCAAACATTTCAACTTCAATGTGAATATTGTAGGAACTTCCTGAATGCCATTCCCTAATACAGCAAGAAGACAAAATCCTCACCCACCCTGGATCTTCAAAAAGTAGAGTACAAGGTTTAAACAAGCCTCACGGCTTGAGGGGCATCATCTGCCCCAAAATCCCAACTCTGCATCCAAATGACATGATTATTACAAAAAGATCAGTGAATACCAGATGCATGGGACACTGTCAGCTTGGCCCTGTAACTAACTCGGCAATGGAAAAATGTGAGCCTGGAGGACCCACGAGAAAGTGCAAAATTTACTGAAAGCTGTTTCTACAAGGCACCCACATCATTATTTAAAGGTGTGGCTCAATTAAGGAGCAATACCAATAAAACCCACAGACAGAAGGCCTGGGTTTTTTTCTTTTAAAAAACTCCAAAGTATCCAAAGTATGGTTCAGTAATTCAGGTAAGTTCAACCTGCCACTTTCTGTTAAAAAAGGATCAACTAAGTCTACACTCCAAGATACAAAGAGCAGTTACATTTATTAAGGAGGCGGAATACATGGTATCATTTTCCCATTGAACCTCACACACAGGAGAAGCTTTTCCCTGCCCCAGGAGCTGCAAGGAATTTGGGTAGGTGAATAACATGAAAGAATCACCGTAAATTCAAAAGGCAGAAAAAGAAAATCTACCACTAAAGGCAAAAAGAAGGGAAAGATTTCAGAAAACATCTCTGTGGTCTAATTAATAAGTATTTCCAATTCTCCGGTGACTGGAACCCACAGCAATTAAGGCTGCACAGTCCATAGCAACAAGAGCTCAGCACACATCCAGAGAGGCAGTTCCAGCATCTAAAACAAAAAAAAAAAAAAAAAAAAGAAGAAAAAGTTGATTTATTTTGTTTTAAAGTTACCTTAAGTTCATTTAAGAACAGGGAAAAGAAGAGAAACCACATAGACTTCCAATGAAATGCTCTAAAACCAGCAAGAGATTTAGTCTTGTATATGGAATGTTTAAAATCACATGCATAATTTCAGAACACTTTCCAGTTAAAAACGTATTTCAAAAGCCAACTCTGACAGTTTATCTGCAACTGCTATCAAATAACTATTCCATATCCGAATCTATGTATATATGTAAAAACATGATGATTTTCTGTAATCAGCATACAGGCATTTTAAGCCTGCTTTGCTTGACAGCTGCTTTTCTGCCAAGGGCATTCCCATCTTTTTTAAACCTAAATACAGTTTTGGAAAGCTGATTTTTGTGAGAAATTGGCTCATACATTGATTATTCTTGGAGTTTCCCTTGACATCAAAATCAGTGGGTAGACCCAATGTGCCCTTGAAGGGCTATAAGACCCCAGCTAGTCAATCCTCAATTCCCTCAGGATTGGTCTGTTGAAGCTTTTCGGGGTTAATTTAGCAAACTTAAGGTTTTGGCAATTTCAGGATCAAAAAAAAACAAGAAATCTGTGAAAAAAGGAATTTAAAGCTGGCTAAAAGTGATCCCTGCTGATGACTCATTAAAAAGGAGGCAGGATTGATTCAACTTGCAACTACTCTGCCCACTGAGGACACAGCTTTCTCCCATTCTCCAGCAGAGATCCACTCTCTCCACACCCAGGGAACTGCAGCCACTCAGGGAACACCAACTTAGTCCTGGACAACTGGAGAGGGACAAGGAGTATTTTTAAGCCATTCCAACCTCAGTGCTGTCCAGTCCTGGGAGAAAGCACCTCCCACCACTCTTGGAATTTTCTTCCCTGTCTGTTCCAGCTTTGGAAGGCTTCTGTGGGAGCGGGAACTATCGATGTAGTTCAGAAGCTGCACGTGGTACCTAAAGCATTCCCTCGGGAACAGGGAGCTTCCCGTGTGCGTTTCGTTTCTTTACCCCAAATACTCTCCCCAGTTATCCACAATAATCTAGAAAGAAAAAACAGGGAAAAGAAGGAAGACCAATTAATTCTGACATAAGGAGTGTTGATTATCCCAACATATTTCCAGGTGAAAAAAAAATTCTGCCACTCTAAAAAAATCCACTTGATACTGTCTCAATTCAATAATCATTATTTAAATATTGTATTAAGAATCGTAAGGACACAATGCTTGGAATTCTCAAAAACAGCTCAGCTTGGCAACTTCAAGGAATTTCACACCCAGGGAACTGAATGGTCCCAGATTTAATCACCACATTGTATATAAATCTGACTGAAATTTTGTTTGGCTGCTAAGCTTTTCCAAAAGCTGTGGAGTCAAGGCTGGAAATCCTCACTGAAGCTTTTCCACGTCACATCTGGTGGGAAAACCCCACTCTGAAGGGTTTGGCTTAAAGAGGTCACACTTGATGTTACAGACACAGAATTCCTTTGGGATTTAGCACTTCTTGCACCTCCAAATACATTAAAAGAACAAAGTAGAGAGTGCTGAGGCTCAATTATTCCCATTCTCTTCACATCTGTTTCCTCAGCTCCACAGGGATTTGTGCCTCCTCTGAAGGTCTAGAAAGGAATTTAGGGATCCTCTTCAGTTTCTTTGGTTTCCAGCTTTTTCTCTGAGGTGGCCCAAAAGGCAAAACGAGAAGAAAAGAAACCTTAACGGCACAAAATCCCAGCTCCTCCCAAGACGCAGTTCTTCACACCAAACGTTGGGAGACTCCATGGTGGTTCCAACACTGTTCCAATCCCTCCCTGAGCTGAGCTTCTGGAGTTCTCTGCCTAATCCACATCTGATCCTGGACAGCCCAAAGCCAAAGAGGAGGCAAATGTAGGGGAGAGGAGGAAAAAAATGGAGTTTTGGGTTTTTCCTTTCGGCACAAGAAGACTGAAGGGCAGGATGAAGAAGTTTCATGGAAAAAAAGTCCCAAAGGCTGCTCAATTCCCAGCAATTAGTGCTGCTGAGGTTGAATCCAAGAGGACAAATCCACTGGGATCAGATGGAAGAGGCTGACAGGATGGGTTATAACACACACCTGCAAAGCTGGAGCCTTCTTTCTTCTCCGGGGCCCGCCCAGAAATTCTCCATGTCTGGATGTACTCCCCAGTCTCCCTGCTGGGGAAGATGGACTTGGATATCCCAGGTTACTGGTGAGGCTCAAACAATAAAGTTATGCAATGATCAAAGTGTTTTTTCCCAAAGAAATAGACATATTCTCTGAAACTGGGATGACCTATTCCATGGCTTTCTCCAAGGAGGAGTCACAGCTGGATATGGTCTCCCATAGAAGATTCCATACAGATTCACCTTTTGCTTGGAGCTTGGCTGAATTCCTCAGCAATGCCAGGGAATGTAGTCATTTGAGGGTTTTGGCAGGTTTGGCTCATTTGCCTTTTTAGGCTTTGTTTCCTTCCCTCAACCTTCCCACTGGATTGTGGTCTCCAAGGAATATGTAAATCCCATTTGACTCCTGTTCTATTGGACAGTTTTTGCATGATTCCTGTACAAACAGAGGTGCCCTATTAGGATGCTTTTCCCTGCCATTCCCCAGCAGTTTAATCTGCCAGTCTATTATCTACATTAGTTGGGCTCTTCCCAGATTTCTGAGCTTCACAAGGCAGGAGTTGACTTGGCTTGGGAACTAGGCACTCCCGAGGAATAGTATGATAACGTCTCCAGGTTTGACAGCTGATCCTTGTGCTGAAAGGATTTCTCTTTCTCCTCTTCAGACAATTCCAAGCTTCGCTGCTCTCATCTGGGAACAGCTCCCAGATTGGACCTTCTTGTGGAGTATCCCTCCAGTCTTCCCTGCTGGGATCCTGCTCAGGAGTCCATGGGGTGCAAATGTAGCAATTAATTCTTCTCATCCCTGCCTAATTCCAAAGGATTTTGTGTCTCCCTTACCCGGCTGCAGTCTGCTTCCTGCTTCAGAAAAAGTAGGGTTTCCAGTTTCTGAACATTTGTCTTAGACAGAAGAGCTTATAAAACCCAACTTGCAAGAATACTGTGTGGTTTGATAATTCTAATGAAACCTATATGCATTTATGTCCTGTTATATTCTATTTAAGTGAAACAACATTCTCTGGTAAATCAAGAAACATAAAAACAAGGCATTCAGTTCTGAGTATCTCTTCCAGCTCCTTTTACTCATTCTGGGTAGACCCAGTTTTGTTCTCTTCTGAAGCTAATTTCTCTTTTAAAGAACAAAATCTAAACAACAACAACAACAAAAACAGTGCTTTTTTGTTATTATTTTTACATGTATTTTATAAACCCATCCACCTTGAGCAAAACCCACATTTGCTGTGCCAACAAACTCCCATTATTACAGCTTTGATGCAAGACCTGTGCAATGGGGAAATAAACAGTTACTATGATTCCCTCTCTTACCTCCATGACATCACATCAATCAAATGGATTCAAAATCCATTGCACCAGCCATTGACTTACTAGGTCCAGGGGCACAAGACATAGGCAATGCAGGATCCACATGGGAAAAGTCTAGATCACGATGCTAAGGAACTCCGGAAGACTGTTCAAGGACACCCCCGATGACAGCTGGCAACACCTGCATTATGAAAGAGGAAGAAAGTCCAGTGATAAAAAAAAAGTGCATTCCTGATAATGGAGAACAATTCTGGGGCAGACTCTTCACAGAAGGCAAAGGCTTTGTCACTGAGCATCACACCTGAAGTCAGGGATGCATAAGGGAGACAGAGTTAGGCTGCAGTGACATGCAACATGATTATTAGCAAAACGGCTGCCTAAGATTGTCATACAAGCACAGATGATAGAAACAGACGAGGAGTTTGGGCAGACATTATGGATATGCTAGTTTAACTCTATTAGTCTTTATCTGCGTGGATACAAACAGTTGCGGGGCGGGGGGGGGGGGGGGAAGGAAAGTTTCTGGAGAGAATGTTTAGCACATTAATACAAACAAACCATCCCTGTCAGGGAGGCCTTAGTCTTCAATTTCATGTTTTGGATAAGGTCTTCCTGACAGATTTTGTTTTGTTTGGTCTTGTTTGTGTGAGATTCTTTTTTATGCTCTCGCTACCAACCAGTGGACCAGAAATGCAAATGGCCATTTATGGCTAGGAAAAAAAAAAAAAATAAATGGTGCAAGGAAGAGGGATTCAGAATCATTAGGAACTACAGAAATCTTCAAAAACAGATGGACCCTATAGGAGGTATGTCCTTCATGCAGATGGCCACAAGCCATCAGGATACTGAAATTGACAATAAAAAAAAGGGGCAGGAGAGTTTAACCTAAGAACCACAGAAAAATCACGAAGTGTTGAAAAGCACACAGTTTTGGTCATATAAACAAACTTTTGTATTTTCCTAAGTATAAACAGCATTCATCAAAACACAAGACCAGTTCAACACCCTTGCAAGAGCAACAAAATCCAGATATCTGCTACAATGGGACATTTAACTTTTATTTTTGAATAAAGTAGTAGTGTAGCTTGAAAAGTACAAATATTTTCCAGTAACAGAAAAACATTTTTAAGAAATCATATCGGCAATCATCCTTTATTACTTACTAGAAAAGGCTAAGAACCAATCCAAAATAATTTTTCTGACAAAGGGAAAGGACAACATCTCTCAAAATGTGGAAATTATTATGAGATGCTGAAAAACAAGACACGGTCGCAAACTGTCATATTAAAACACAATACAGCAGGCCAGAAATATGGCTTGGAGAAAACCACTTGCAGACAGGAAAAAAACTGGTGACTCCCTTCCCATACACATCAGGGACTGTAAGGCCTATCGAAGTATTCATAAGGCAAGCAGATGGTCAAAACTTAAGGGAGGCACCAGAAGTGACTGTCACACCCATTTTATTTCAGACAAACTTGGAAAAGTTTCTGTGTCATACATTTCCTTTACAGATGTAACAGACTATTTAAAATTGTAATGTCTGTAGAACAGATTACAGAAGGGATTAAGCCATCAAAACAAATAACAAGTCATTAGGCCATAAGGTATTCCCCTCAAATGCTCAACTTGAGGATGAAATAACAAGCAGAGTATCTGTGGTGTTTTATCTCTGTACTAGGAGACTGGATGGTACCATACACAACATGATTTTTTCATTTAAATTTTCAGAGTTCCAGGCTTATAAATCTTATGTCCACTCTAAGCATGCTAGTAGAAGTATACTAGTAGAGCTAGTATACTAGCTAGAAGAATTTGCACATACATGAGTAGTAAGTAGTAAATGTACATAAAACATCAGCACAGTTTTTGTGAAGGAAATTCATGCCTGATGAATCCTTTAGAACTATTTGGAATTATCAGTGAATATAGGCATTACCTGATGCACTGTATTTGGATTTCCAGAACCTGTTCAGTACAAACACTCAAAGACTTGTGTGGGACAACAGGAACAGTTCTCCCCTAGAGAAGCAATTCATTAGAAAGCTAAAAGAAACTGAATAAATGGCCAGTTCATAGATGAGTAAAAATTGCCACTGGGTTCAGGCAGAGATCTCCGATTAGCCCTAGGAAGCCATATTTACAGAGGATTTGAAAAAGTCAGGTGGATAGCAAGGCAAGAGATTTCTAGCAACGTCTTCCTGAAGTAATAAAAAAAATGCCCCTACAGCATTGCTGCAGGGACTAACAGTACCGTGGAAATGAACAGTAAAGGTGCTGATGCATTTCAGTGTGAATAATGCAAAAAATAAAAAACAAAGATGCACAGGGGATGGATGTTCAAAGTTTGAACATTAAACACTGAATATTACACATTCACATTGTCATAACAGAGACCTGTTACAACCAAAACGGGATCTTGATAATTACTAGGTTTAAAAGCTCATTGCTCAAAAGTCAGATAGAAGACTTGGAAATACTTGCGAAACAATAGGAACATAGGAGGGGGGGGGAAAAAAAATCACATTACAATTAATCCACATTGCTCCTCCATCTTGAATATGGTGCATAACGCAGATCTCTGCCTCTCTGAAATGAGGTAACAGTATGACAAAAGGTACTAAAAGATATGCATGTATGAAATAAGATACAGATCAGCTGCTGTACAAAATAGACTCTGCTTCTTCAACCAGAAAGCAAATTGGGAAAAGCATGACAAAGTTCAGCAGTTATCATGGAAGTGGTACTATTCCTAATTTTCTATAATATAAGTCCTAAGACGTATCAAATGACGTTAGGAAGTACCAGGTTTAAACACACATCTCTCTCTTTCTTTATGCAGCACCTGGACATCGTAAAATTCACTTTTCCATCAAGATATTGTGAATGCTAAAACCCTGTATAGCTTAAAAAAATCACTTGGACAACAATAGATGAAATGTGCAAAGACATGACCTCTGGCTCATAAAATTTATCAGCCACAGGTCACAATCACCAGAAAAATATTCCAGGGCTGCCTTGGACAATGGACTAGTCACTGAACTCCTTTTGGCTACAAAAATTCTTTTAACAAACACCATCAGTGGTTCCTTGCTTATTAACTACTGTATTTTAATGTAGGCTTGCTTTTTTAAAAAAATCACGTCTTCATTTTATGACCCTAGAGATCTGTGGCACATTATAACTACCGTTAAAACACCTCAGGTGGCTTGTTTTGTGCACAAAAAACCTCCTGCTTAAGAAAGACATGAGATGTATGGATACCTTCTGCCATTAAATTCAGTGCCTCACGGATGTATTCCAGTTCATTTGAATGCATCTGGAGCTTCGCATAATTCTCAAGCTTATTTCCACAAACAGAACCTAAGATTCACATACAAAAGCTTTGACCACAAGTATCTTCAGAACAAAATGCTGCTGCTGTACATTCCCTTCAACTTTTTGTCCTATTTCCAACTCAAATTCTCTGGCTATTTGGGAAGAAAGTTTTTAGACAGTATTCTAAGATCCACTGTTGACATTTTGTTCAAAGGAATTGGTAATAAGTTCACTAAATCGAGCCTGCCCCTTCATTTCCTTCTTCTAAAGAAAAATATAGTCAAAAGCATTAAAAATGGTAAAACCAAACTCATTCACTCCATAGCTTAATCACACTTCTTTGACTAATGTTTAGATTTTGCTAAGGCATGTTTAAAAGTATTTCAAGGCAGCTGTGACTAGAATTCCTATAAATCCAGGCAAACCTAGGCACCTAGGTCCAGCTCACACACTAAGCACACAGAATGTCACATGTCAGAATGCGCCAGGCAGTTCAGTGACTCACTACGTAGCTGAGCACATTCTGATAGATAACCTGAGAGCTACACCCACTGGTGCAGCCAAACAAGTGCAGCAATTAGGATAAACATATTTTAGATATTCATTATATAACATGTTTTCATGAGCTTCTAAAGCCATCCCCAACTAACCTGGTCAGACTGAAAAACAGCCACGGACATAAAACATAACGTTCAGTCTGTTTTAAAGTTTTAACTGCATCTTACCAAAAGGATGAAAGCATTCTGTGCCTTTTAATGATCTATTGAAACTTTTTCTCCCCATCTCTTAAACTCTGATGTTCGCAGATCTCTTACTGATCGACAGTTGTACTGCTACAGAAGCCCACTATCATAGGAGCTGGGATAAGAGAAGTCACACCATATTACCCAGGTCAACCTAACAGAGGACACAAAGAGCAGAACTTTCAACTATCAACATTTACTGGTAGTATTATTGTGTAACGTTATTCGTGTTCGGAGATATAAAAAATGGGATATGAAAAGATCACAAAAGAAAAGGTTTGTTAAAAAAAAAGATCAAAAAGCATATTATGATAATGCTTTTTGTATTTATGGAAGTGAAATATACACACTGAAAATACTTCTGTGTAATCACCATTTTTGTTATGACAGTGCTGAAAAATTATCACAAATTGAAACCTGGAAAGTGCTAGAGATCATGTATAAGCATCAGCCTCAGCTATATAGGAGAGTTTCATTCAAGACCATAAATCATTAGGCTATCGGTCAAGGCTGATCTTTGATTATAGCAGAAAAGCTTAACTATTTTTGAAGTTCTTGTTCTTTAGCTACATCTCACATTTCATCCTAGAGTCTTTGTGCACTTTAAAACATGCACTCTCTTTTCTAGGTTTAAATAGTACTTATTAAGGCTACATTAAGGTAATGTACACAGGTAAAAACATGGGATATTTAGTTCAACAATCACACCACCAAGCCCTCTTCATAAATTTACTATCTACACTCAAAACTCTTAAGGATTCTAAAGACCACTGGGTCACAAACAGAAAACATTTGAAATAAATAGTCACTTATACCAAAAAATCACCAAATATGCTAGCCCTAGTTAACAGTGCAGATTGCTTTAGAAGGGGTCAGTCCTAGTCAATAGTTTGGTTTAGAATGGGTCAAAGACAGTCTTCATGAGCCAGCCTTCAGTCACTGCATTCAGCTTTAGTCCAATCCGACAGTGCTGAGCACCTACTTGGGGACTGCCCTTCTGCCAGCTACCAGTTTAGAGTCGACAAAGTTATTTTTCTTGGGGCTACTGAGGTCTTGTTCAGATCCACAAAGTCCGGACACGTACGAGTAAAAACCCTAAAGGAAAATAAGGCCGACGACCACATACCTCTTCACTACAAAGTCTCTGCCTACATTTCTCTTTTCTCCGTGTTGTCTCATCTCTTCAGTCAGGGCTCTACTTCGTAAGAGCAGTTCACAGTCACAGCAGAAACATCTGTAACAGTTCATTTTACCAGCTTTACAGAAAGTCTCCAGTAGCATTATTAGAAAACAAAAGGACATAATGCAATAGGCCACATAGCATACCATACCCGATACTGGGCTCCGAGTACGCCCGAACTAATTTTCAGCTCCTTCTTTCTAAGGGAAAAGAAAACCGAATAATCATTTTTCTCTAGTGCAATTAAAGCGCAAACCAACCACGTAGTCGAGGACTATCTACACTTCCCCACATAAACAGTCACTTACGGAAAGGGTCTGCAGAGCAAAAGCCTAGGTGGACAAGGTCACGGGCCTCTGGTTAGACGGTATCCGATGGTGTGCCTGTGCTCCAGCGGCCTTTATCAACCCCACGGAGAGCCGCGGCCTGCCACTCGGCCCGCGGCAGCGCAGAGCTCCGCCGCCCGGAGGCGCGTGACCCACGGCCGGCGCGGGCCCGCCCCCACCGGCGAGGGCCTCCCGAGGGGAGGTGGAGGGTGAGAGCGCTGCGGCATCACGGCGGCTGCGCGGCGCAACCCCGGAATGCCGGAGCAGGAAACTCCTTTTTTGGGCCACGGAAGTTCCATAAAAGGCGTGGAGGAAATTCCAAATATGGTCGGTGAGGTTCCGGACGGGGAGCAGCGGGGACGGGGCTTCTGTTCAGCCAGGACCGCCCCCAGAGCGCTCCCGGCGCTGGCGCGGCGCCGCGACCGCTGGAGCCTGGGGTGGGGGGGGATTGTCTCCTCCGAGCCAAGCCGGGCGGCCGTTCCTGTCGCTAGCGGTCAGATCTGAACTGGGCTTTAAATCACAAACAGCTAAGGTTTAGTTCCGAGCAAATGGGTCTTCTGCGGCTAAACACAAAAGCGAGAGGTCTTCGCTTCCTTCCTCGCCGCGGCGCTTCCTTACAGGGGGAGGGTTTTCCCGGCCACTGATAACACCTGCTGTTTCCTTGGGAACAAACTCCTTGAAACTGACTCATCCTACTAATTGGACTAGAAACAAACTTTTTAAGAATTAGAAATCCTGTCTTCAGGCCAACAGCCAACGAAAGATCTTGCAGAAAATATACGGCCAATGCTTTCTCATAACGCATTTTTCTTCCCTGAAATCAGTTTTAGTTTTATGGGACAAAAGCGGATGCAGAAGACTCATGCATTTATTTCCTTTATGTTATGCTAGCAAGAATGCACTAGCCTTCATTCCTGCATTGCTAAGCACTACTGCCTGACTTGGACCTCTTTTCAACAATGCACAAAAGAGAACCTATCTTGTTTTTTTCCTCTTTAGGCATGGAAATTACTCATTTCAAAATTCTCTGGAGAGCCTGGGGCACCCTCAGGCTCATTAAGCATTGCTTGAGAGCCTACATAGTTGGGTTTTGGCACAATCAAAATCCCAGAAGGCTAGACCACGAGTTAACAGAGATGAGCTTGAAAAGACATCAACAGCTACTTTTTTTTTGAGGAGAAGTGGAGAGGAGGGTGTGCTGATCTTCCCTGTGGTATCCAGTGACAGGACACCACACACGGGAGACTCTCAAAGCTGCATTAGGAGAAGTTCAGTCTTCACATTAGGAAACATCTCTTTACTGAGAGGGAACAGGGTTCCTAAAGAGGTGTGCAGTGCCTCAAGCCTATCGGTATTGAAGTGACATTTGTACATTGTAATATATGTATCCGTAATAGCAGTTTGACTAGATGTCTATTGTAGGCCTTGGGTCCCTTTCAACTTAGCTATTCTATTCTATACATATGAACAGAGCAGTAGTCATAGATCAGAATAACTTGACTCCAAATGTTATTTTGTTCTTGACTTTGGGAAATGGATGTAGGCAAAAATTTTATAGTTACCTGTACGCAATGTTATTTGCCTTCTTCTTCGAAGGATCCCATTTGGAAACTCTTCATTGTCTTGTCTCCCATAAGGGGAATTCTGTGACTTCTGACATGCCTTATATGCTCAGATAGTCTGAAGCCACATATTCAATTTGCCAGTCACCCTGTCTGGAACAGAGGCCAGAGCCCCTTGGGTTGAAAAGAGTTATCACATTTTTCTGAAAAAGCCCAGCAGGGCCAGCTGCAAAGTCCCTGTTAGCAGCTTGCAGAAATACATACAGCACTGCGGGCATAGGCCAGCACAGAGACAAAGCTGCACAGGCCTCTCCCCACAGCTCTGTCCACAGGGACAGCTTGTCCCTGTCCTCTGAGAACAGTCCTGCCTGATTGATGACAGACTGGGATTTACCAGTTGGTAAGATCTTGGGTATCTTTTGCCAGAGGTGGTCTTCATACCTGAGGAGAAGGACTGGAATTGGGACTTCCTAGCCAGTACAGTCAATTTTGGTAATCAGTAGGGAACACTGTGTCTGGCAGAGTTGCTAGGCAGTTTACACTGTGCTAGGTACATTCATCAAGTCCTGTTTCTTCCAGCTGGTCACAACCTTAAACATAAGTATCTTGTAGAGAGCCTACCCAAAAGGAGAAACATCAGAACCCTCTTCTGTACCTGCACCACCAGCTCTCATGGATCCAGTTTCCTCTGAATTCAGTCTGCTCAGATCACAACTCCTGAAATGCATTTCAAGCCACCAGGGAAGGAAGTGTTTTCTCCTATAAATACTGAAACACCTGTAATAAAGGTTATCAGGCCCACACACTCATATGCCCTATGTTGTGTCAAGGAGGAACTTATGGCAGCCCTCAGCTGACCAAGGCTATCTTCTGTCAACTCGCCCTTATGACTGACCTTACTGTATTTCCAGCCTAGAAACTGCTCTATTATTTTGACATCTAGTAAGATTTCTGCCTACCTATGAACACAGCTGAGATTCTAATTTTCTAACTTCAATTTCAGCACTGTAAGAATTGTCTAAGTTTAGCTCTGGAGAAGCCAGTAAACAGCAATTGTGACTACTTCAAAAGAGGTGGTGATGCACCTAATGTAAGGATATGAGTTCACCATCCATGCTTTTTGCATGCCACTGGACATAAGATTGATTTAATCTCATTTCTTTAAACAGGTATTTTTTTCCCAGGAGACAAGTGGTTATGTGTTGCCTTTGAAGCAACTAAAGGAGTCAGTTTCAAGGAAAGTGTAAGTCTGCACAATTTGATGTTTTATTTATTTTTTTTCTGAAGGGTATTGTACACCAAATATCCCAATGGCAGGTAAGCGCATTCAATGTGTTTAGAAGCCAAACAGTCACTTTCATTTTAACAAACACAATTACAAAGTAAAAAATAAACCACAAAATAATGAACTGCATGTTCATAACATACAAAAATTGCTGCCTACTCAGTAGGTAACTACAACATTCCAACTCCTGAATATATATATATATATATATATATAAAATTTTACATTTTTGTAACAAAAATAGACTTTGAGAGGTGGAGGGGGAGAGGGTGTGGGGATTTCTTTTTGTTTGGGCTTTTTTTCTGATTGTTTGTTCTTGGTTTTTTGTTGGGTTTGTTTTTTGTTTGTTTTTTTGCTTACATTCCATCCCCTGGCCCTTTCTCTTGCTCCTCTCCCCACCCAATCCCTGCTCTTCCTTACATTCTTTGAGTAACATCCCTTCCACTTTAAGGCAAGATGCAAAGCATCCACTCACACAAACGCATGACGTCAGCAAGGCTTCACAAAAAGGCACCAAGACTTGTAACTTTTAAAACAAAACTTCTGCCACATGTGAGTGTCTCATCAGGTGATAATTACATAGCATCACTCCAACATGCTCAAATACAGTAAGTGCTGTTCCCAAAGAAGTTTGAAACGCATTATAGCATTGTCACTGAAATAGAATTAACACTTACAAAATATGGCCCTGCAAACTCCAAATTATACAATATGAATAGGCAAAGATTTTTTCCACATCAATAGTACCTAAAGGAAAGCAAAACCATGGCACATGTACAATTTACATCAGCTAGATACTTAATCAAAAGTCCTTTCTTCCTAATAAAAGACTATTGTTTACGGGGAAAATTATATTGAACTTATACCCACAGTCCATGCAAATTAAGTCATTCAACAGAGGTGGAAAACTTAAGCAGCAGTTGATTCAGGCAGCTGAAGTTTAAACTAAATAGCCTTGCAACGTATGGTGTTGTGGGAGTAATTGGAGACTCCATGTCTGATAATACAAATGGAAAAGGTGAATTCTCCTGATCCAGAAGATCAGATCTTCTGGATCAGCAGATCTCAATTGTCCTTGGAGAAAAGGCTGAGTTTATGTCTGAAAGTGCTGAGGTTACCTGTGAGCTGAAATTGTTGGCGACTCCTGGAGATGAGAAGGAAGTAGCCACTTGGGTTTGAAAAGTGGCGGTGCCAGAGGGGTAAGTGGTTGCTATAGAAGGGGATGGGAATGTGGTGTGCACAGGGGAGGGATAGGAAGAGGGAGCAGGAGAAGAATACGCTGTGCGCACTGGGGAGGGATAAGTGGTGGTGATGGAGGAAGGGTAGGATGTAGTTACAGAGGATGAATAGGCAGGAATTGGGGAAGCAGTTGAGGCTGGAGCTGCCTTTTCCACTTTCTTGTCCTTCTGCCTAAGGTGGATTTTAGTGTGCCTCTTCCTCTCATCACTTCTGGCAAACTTTCTGCCGCAAATGTCACAAGCAAATGGCTTCTCTCCTGTGTGTGTGCGGATGTGCGTAGTCAAGTGGTCACTCCTGCTGAAATTCCGCATGCAAATGCGGCACTGGAAAGGTTTCTGTCCCGTGTGGATGCGTATATGCCGTGTTAGCTCATCAGATCGTGAAAACCTCCGGTCACAGGACTCCACTGGGCAGGCATAGGGACGCTCATGAGGAGGTGTCTTGCTGGGACGGTTTGGGTATTTCCTCATCCTGCTGGGCTTGATCAGCTGGGACTGATAATTAGCATTGAGGGTCTTCAGTTCTTGGGAGCCAGTCTGTGTAGCAAATGCCTTAATAGTGGACAGTGGTGTGAGGGAAGGCTGCTGTGCTCTGGTCTCAAGAGCTGGAAAGGGCTTCTGATCAGCTGGAACTAGACTGAGCTCAGCCTGTTGCTGAGGGAACAAGTAATCCGGGATCATTGGCACCTGAAAGTTGGTTTTAGCAGTCGGATAAGCTGGAGGTGGATACTGGATGGGGGCTCCAGAGGGGTTGGGAAAAGACTGGGTCTGGGATTCAGGAAAAATATCAGAGCTGGAATTGGGAAATGTTGGTGCAGCTGAATAAATTGGATTGTTCTCGCTGGCTTGGACAGAACAGCTCAGTGGGGAGCTCTGCGAGGAGGAGGATGGCGATGATGAAGTAGGCGTAGATGTGGGAGGTGCATTAGCCATGCCCACCAGTCCACTGACGAGGCTGAAGAGGGGCTCTGGCCATAGGGGGTTGCTGCTGTTGGGGGCTGGCTCTAAGGAGAAACGCCCCGTGTAGGTTATCGGTGGCAGTCTCGTCGTTTGGTTGGGATAGCTGGTTTCTGGCAGGGTTTTCTCGTTGTTCAGGGAGATTTCGGGAAAAGTGTCTGCAAAGAGAGGAATAGCGATTAATTCCAGCAGCCACTGCAGTTGCTGCCGGTGCTCCGCGAGCCATCTCTCTCACACCGCAGCCCCAGATTCTGGTTAATTACTAATTGAGCGTAACATATTGCAGCGTCGCTGGCAGGTCTCCAGCCGCAGCTAGTCCGGAGCCGCTGACGCACACAGGAGAATCCCCCCGCGCGGCCGCCGGGACAGAGGCGACGCTGCAGCGCGGAATTCCCGCACGCGTCGATGCCCCCGCTGCAGACCGGGACTCCCCGCCCGCCTGGGCGAGGTCAGCGTGCTTACCTGCCCCGAGGTGCTCGAAGTGCTGCTCTCCGGGCTCCCCGGCGGCGCCGAAGCCCGCACTCTCGGATGCCCCGGGCGGGGCAAGGAACTGCGGGCCTCCGCCGCTAAGCAGCATCATCTCCTCCAGCTTGGGATAGTGAGTGTCCATGGCAGGGGGAGAGTGCGGGAAGGCGCCAAAGGGGTCGGAGATCTGCAGCGGGGGCAGGAGCTGCATCTCTGCCTTGGCCGCGGCCATGAGAGCGCCGGGCTCCGACTCTGACGGGTGATGGCGCTGCCGCCGCGGGGCCGGCGGACGGGCCGGCTGCGGCAAGGCAGCCGTCGCCTGCTCCGCGCCCTGCGCCGCTGTCGGCCCGGCGCTGCCCGCTGAAAGCGCTCGGCTCCCGGCTCCCCGCCCGCCCGCCCGCCCGGGCTGCCCCGGCTCTGCCTGCAGGAAGCGCTCGGCTCCCCGCCCGCTCCGGCACCGCCTCTATATATCGGATCTCACCGGCCGCAGCCCGCCCCAGCCCTGACGTACATGGCCATATTTGGAATGCAGGAAGCCCTAATATGGATGCGGGCCGGAGGACCCCTCCTGGCGTCAGAGCCTGGCACCGGGGAAAGCCGGGCCGGGGGGCCCCGCCCGCACCGGGCTGAGGGCCCCACGCCCGGTGCAGGTCTGACCCCCGCCGTGGGCAGCACCGTCGCAGCACTGCCGCAGCGTCGCCGGTCCCGGGAGACGGGGTACCCGGCCCCCGCCGGCCCTCGCCAGCCCGCCGGAAGCCCCCACCGTACTTTCCATATTAGGAAACAACCTTATAAGTCTCGATTCCGGCGGAGGCTTCCCGCTCCTTATATGGCGATTCCGGCCCCGGGTGGGGGGGGCGCAGAGCCCGTCCCCAGACGGGCGCGCGCCCGCCCCCTGGCAACAGGAGCGCGCGGAAGCCTCGGGCCACGGAAGAGCGAGGCTGCTGCCCGGGCGGGTGGCACAGGAGCCTCGGGGAGCACCCGACAGAGCCCGGCGTCGCCGCCGTGTTTTCGGGGGCAGAGCTCCCCTTCGCCCCCACTTCGCTTGCTCAGCTCGCACTACTCGCCTCCGCTCTGTCTCCGCGGAGGCGCCACGGGCTCACGGCAGCTCCCGCGGCAGCCTCGATGTGGCGTTTTCTGGGTGCTGGCAGCGCGCCCAAGGCAGGAACTGCCCGCTCCCGGAAAAGAGGAATCTCCGGGATTCCAACGGCCTGCCGGGATCGCCCTGCTCCGCCCGCTCCCGACGAGAGCGGCGGAGGTCTGCCCGTAGCACTAGACCGGGATGGATCCCGGCTCCGTGCGCCTCCTTCATGTAGCCGTGAACAGGGCACTAATAAACAGAGAGCCCCAGGTACTACATGGCCGCAGCCAGCACTGACTTCAGCGCGATGAAAAGTGACAGCGCTCGGGACTCTGCTCTCGCGGCCTTAGGATTGTCCCCTGACGCGGCTACAGCTCTTTCCTGCCCTCCCTGCAAAGCGCTGGCTGCGCCCTGCACCGACTTCGCATGGAACCCTCGGCCGTCTGCTCGACGCACCACGCACGCCGAGAAGCGCGCTGCCCGGGCCGGGGGAGCCTCCCGCGCTATAAATAGCGGCTCGCCGCGGCCACCGCCCCGCCCCGCCCGGGCAGCCCCGCTGCCGGCGCGCGGGGCTCCCCTGGCGCCGGGCCAGGCGGCTCCGGCGACGCAGTGCGGCCGCAGTGCGCGTGCGCGGCCATCGCGGCGAGGGCTTCCCCGCAGTGCGCGGGGCTCCGGAGGCGGGGCCGGAGCTGCCGCCTGCGGCCCCGCGCTAGGCGGGCCCGATGCCGGTGACTGCGCCCGAAGCTCCGCGGCGCACGGTAGTCCCATCGGCGGCTGCAGCGCGGGACTTGCCGGACGGCCGGCTCCCCGCCGTCCACGGCTCCATGATCTGCCGAGGGCGGCGCTCCCTCTGCCGCATAGATGGAGCGTAAAGGCAGGCGACTTGGTTCCTCTTCTGGTCTGCCCCCCCTCGCTCGAGGCACCGCCCGCCTCCGGGCACGTCCCGCAGCGCCAATCGAGGTCGGTTGCAGAGCTGGCTCTTCCTCACGGAAATCCTGGCGCCGAGCCGGGCCGGGCTACACAGCGCTTCTGTGTGTGCCAGGCGGCCTTCTTTTGCTGTGGGAAGGCAGCTGTATAAACCGCTAGCCTCTACCGCCTTTGTGATTTATATTCAAGCTGGCACACGGCAGGCCTCTGTCTGCCCGCTTTTTTAGAATATTTAGACTTTTGCCATGTGTACGGTTGTTAACCGAGCTGCTATATTTAGGACCGTGCCTTGCC